AATTCTGTCTGTCTAATCCATTTGCTGTTTTACGTTCAAAACCCTGGAGAAAAGGATGAATGAACTATCTTGTCGGCTGGAATTCAAAATTTTACCTTGATAAAATAAGGAAGCTCGTGTCTTATTGGTAAGAACTGTGGACCTCAAGTATGTATTCAGGAATCGGAAAAAACAAAAAAAAGAACCCATGGAATTCAAACAAGTATTTATTTTCGATTTTAAATTCCCTGCAAAGAAGGATATACCTGTTAAAGGATGACAAGCCATTAAAAAGTGCTTTTTAAGGAAGAAGGGTAAAGGACAGATGCGTGTTGACCACCGTGCCTGATAGAAAGTCCGACAGAGATAGTCTGCGCTTACATTAGACAAATAGGAGGTGGTATTTACTAACTTTACCGCCTGACCATATTACACAATTGCGGCTCGGTAGCAGCGAAATATGACCCGTCCTGGTAAGCACTGACATGCGGACTTTGAATACTCGAAGCGCCTACTTCATTCATTGAGATTGTAGTACGGCACATCTAAACCTGGCAAACTCTTTTTAAGCAGAACTCCTGGAGCCCCTATGCCTTCGGTTTCTCAATGAGAAGAGTATTATGATGTAATATAAAGCTGAACAAACTTCGATAAATTCCAAATCAACCGTCACTTAACCTCACTAGTAATAATCAATATCTTCCTAGATTTTTCACCTAACACGAGGTTCACAAAAAGATTTATTCGGCTAATGTTTCGACACCTTCGCCTTCATAAATGTCGATGATCAGCAGCTGTTTATCTTCTCGATGTGGTGCCTTCGTCGCCGTCGTACCTAGCCGGATCTTCTTCGGTGGGCACAGCTCAAACGAAGCAAGCTCGCCAGGCAACGTTCTTTTATACAGCGCTCTTTACGAAGACGATGACGCCACATCGAGAAGACGAAAAACCGTGGAACATCAACTCGGATCATTGGTACTGCTGGAGATGAAGACGTCGAAACGTTAGCCGAATAAATATCTTTTACGCTTCACAGTATTGCTACTTAAACACACAATTATTCATCTTTGAATACGCAACAAATCTACAGCCCATATCTGTTATAGAAAACATAAAGTTGCCAGTGTTGATCAATCCCTTAGGGATGTGATGGAATGAATGCATATCTGGCCTTTACAATGACTAGTGGTGGCCTACCGATGTACCGAGCCAGTGCTGCTATCCTCCCAGACAAGTCTGGTAGCAGTTTGCCGATCCCGGAGGGATGGAAGGTTTGGCAAGCCATGGACGCGAGGATCGATTCCACGTGTGTGCTGCGGAGAGCCTCCAACCATTGTGCTAGACATTCGGTTGTTTTCACCTGTTCTCAGTGCTATTCTTTCTGGATTGAGGATCAAGTTTCCAACAGTCAGCAATTGAGGCAACAAATTTCAGCATTAGAAACTAGTTCTGAACTGCTTAAATTGTTGCTTATTCGAAGATGAACCGTTTTTTTTTATTTGGGTTATAATTTGCAACAATACCATCAGACTGAAGCAGATAATAACGATGGGACAACATTTGAAGAAGATACTGGGAAATTAACTATGTAAAAATATATTCACAAAAGCAAAATTGTAAAAAAGTAGAGGAATTGCAGAGGTTGGCAATTTACAAATTGGTCAGGCCCTGTTTTAAGAATATTAGTTCTATTGATTTAGACAGAAACGCGAAAGTAGTGGAGAAGTTTGAAAAGCGAAGCCTGTTTACAGAGAAATAAAAAAAGGACAAAATCGAGGAACCAGTGCGCGAACGAAAAACGATCCACAGAAGTGAAAATAGCCGTTCTGAGAAAAGAAAAATCTTTTTAACTATTACTCATCCACAAATGGCTAAAACTTTCACTAATGAAGAGGAAATAGGTTAAGCTACGTTTAGACCGTTGTATTTTGGAAAACCGCTATGTTTAGAATCTCAATTCTCTGAAAAAAAGCCACTAGCTGAACCAACGCCATTTAGAATTCAACTTTCTCAATATCTGAACAGCATAATTACAGCACTTAAAGTCTAACCATGACTAACCCAAACGCTAAAACAGATTACTGTGATAGAATCACATAACAGCACTTTACAATAATATTTTCGCGAAATACCGGTCTTACTTTATCTCCTGGGAATTGAAGTAAACATGAGATGATAGGAGGAGCAAACAACAACCACTGTTTTGTTTTTTTTTTTGTCATCTAAATAATAAGTTCTTCGATTTTGAGCTCTACTCTAACAGAGGGACTTCAGCATTGGTTTGCTTTATGGTATCTAATGCTTTACTACTTACACAAATCCTTAAACGACTTGTCATAACGAAGAAATTGTCAAGAAATTTGAGTGCGAGGTTACTTCTGTGAGCAGCCCGAAGCTGGACCGTAGTGGCTTTCGTCCTCCGCCAGTTCATTCTTGAGATAATTCATCCTGCCCACTGAACCCCTAAGGCACGCTTATTCTCAATAAGAAGAAAGTCATCTTTCGTACTATGGGTTTTTCCAAAGTTGTTTTCAAATTGACTGCCTAGTATTCCGGTCCTAGACCGGTGAGCTCACTCAGATTAGTCTCCGCTTCACTGCTACCTTTAATATTTCGCTACTTCCTACTCTGGTTATAAAGACATGGAGCAGCATCATGATCGCGGTCTAGCTTTAAAAGCAGTCAGCAAAACTTATGGTATAGGACAAGTGTAGTCGTTCTTCGTGCATAAGTATGATAGAGTAATTTTCCCAAGATCGACATTCTATTAACCTCGACATTGGATTATAAATTCGTCGTTTTCTTTCTCAGCAATCTCGAGGTTGTTAAATAGCATACGTTTACTTGCACACAATAACGCACATACAACTCAATCGTAGCTGACGTTTCAGCAGAACCGCCTACTTCAGAGTCTGGAAGGGTACACTAATACACAACTTACTGGGACAAGCGCTTCAATAGCACAAACAGATGAGAATCTGCACGATACCTACAAGGTCAACGGCTTCTCGTCCTCTTTGTTTGTGAAGTTTAGTGTAAAATTCGGTAGCGTACAACATTTTTGTAATCGAAAAAAAATGTAACAAAATTACTGCACTCTTAAAATTGTCCTACGAATACGATTTAAATAGTGTCCACAAGATAATCTTAACAGATGTTCTACCCTTTTAATTGAACGGATTACACGGAAAGTCCTTTACACGTGCAAGAGAATGGTCTTCGGGAAGAGTACAGCATCGTCATCATGACAACAGTTGGTGGTGAGGCATGTGAGGCATACTGCATCCAACCACCTTCATTAAGAAGCTTATTTGCGAAGACATTATCAATTAGAGTATTGCTGATCTATGATCTCTACTGGAAGTAATAAAAGAAAAGACTCTCAAATAGTTTATCTTCTGTGCCTTCTTCGATTCGCGAACTCGCATGGAATTGGTAATAATCTTGCTTAACTGTAAAACCGTATTGGTTCTCCTGCTGTTAATTGCAATTTTAGAGGTGGATAGAAATCGAAGATAACTCTTCTTGATTGTAGTTTGGTTTCGTAAGGTTGTTATGCAACAGAAGAGCTTAAAACAGAATTTCTCCTTCTTTAGTAACGTGTGTTGAAGATGTGGCAGAAATCGCTGGATGAACTCAAGTTAATGGGCCAAATCTGACAAAGACTAGATTACCAATATTTCTTGATAGAATCGCTTTTTCACAAATAACAACATCCATTCGCTTGCTTCTAGCGTTGCGAAAACTGTAGCCTCAACGAGAGGTCGAAATTCGAAGTATGAGTCAAGCGTTTTCTGGCAAGTGCGATGGAAGAAAGAATAGCGCACAATAGAGTATGTTGTCTCGGTCGTATACCGAACAAGTCCGTCGTAAAATAAGATTCTCACTTGCTGCTTTGCATTTCAACATTGGCATGGTTGTGATCAGTATCTAAAATATGGAACTGAATTTCTGCTCGATAAGCTGAAAGCGTAAACTTTAACAGTCGCTACGAAAACAAACCTACAGAGATATGTTAGCGAGTTACTAGAGCTACAGATATTTATACTAGGCGCAATAGGCTAATCACAAATCAGTTCTGATTCTGCGACAAGTTATGGTCGTGAAATTTTTATAGCTGATTCTGTACAGATGGGCTCTAGTCCAAGGAAAGGAATGTATATTAGTGAGTCTACCACCACAACTGAGGGACGAGTTAACACAAATATCGAAAGTTGGGAGGCAGAAACAATGGTTAGGAAAACGGAGTGCGACTGTTAACGACTAACATTTGAACATCAAGTAACGATTATACAGCACTAATTTAGAAATTAAAATGTAATCGTCATTAACTTAGGACTTTACCATCGGCATGTGAAAGATCAGAGCACAAATATCTCTTATGGGTTCCTCCACATCAGCAAACAAAGAAGTCATGTAGAACGAATTTATGCGAGTCCAAATGAGAAAAAGTAAGAACGAAAACAACGCAGCAGTTTTTTGAAGTAACAATGGATAGATAGTAAAACGAAAAAACTACTGCATAAAGGATTTGACCTGGCTGCCAGCCTTCTTCCTTTGTATAGCTTTTCGTGCCTTTTTCGTAAGAGGCGGATGTTTGGGCTTTTGCGACCTAAATGAAGAAAAGAATGTGCTATCGATGAAAATAAACAAAAAATTCCCTTTTTAATTTTTTTTAGATTTAATTTTTTTAAAATTCATCGATGGGAAATGCGCGCACGCAGCGCAATGTTCGGAGGCGCCCTGCAATATACGTGGGATCGATTCCCGCGCCCCAGACTAACCAAGCCTCCCATCCCTCCGAGCTCTGCAAATTGGTACCAGACTTGTCTGGGAGGATAGTAGCACCGGCTCAATACATCGGAAAACCATGCGAATCGCTGTAAAGGATATACGCATTCAATCACTTCCAGCGATGCTTAATGAAGTTGAGTTCATGGCGCACCCCTCGGGAATTGATCAACACCAAAAGCTTTTATCCTTCATTTATCGAAAGAAAAGAAATACTGAAGGTGGCACACTTACTTCCTAGTGGAGAACTTGTATTGATCAATTTTGGTGGACTGCTCCTTAGTTAAATTTTGAACCGCTTGGCTGTCCTTTTTGGTTGACTGCAGCTCCTGCAAGGAATTAGACGGAAATTTACAAAAGAAACTCATAGTTGGAAAAAGAACGGATATGTAGACACTCACAGCAATCTTCCGTTTTTTCATCACTTTCATTATACGAAGCTCGCGTTTTTGGAAGTGTAATCCTGTTGCACTTAAGGCCAACTGAACTGATGTAGGTGACTGGAACAAGTTGGTACTACTTATGCAGAAGGAAAAAACCTTAGATATGGTATAAATACTACAGGAAGCTGCACTATACTACAGTGTAGCGCAGTGGTCGGAGGCGCCCTGCAACACACATGGGATCGATCACCACGACCCAGCCTCACCAAGCCTGCCATCCCTCTAGAGTCGGCAAATTGGTATCAGCCTTGTCTGGAAGGATAGCAGCACTAGCTCAGTACATCGGTAGGCCACTGCGAGTCGCTGTATAGGATGTATGCATTCAATCACCAACGATGCATAATTAAGTCGAATGCGCGGCGCATACCACAGGGATTGATCAACGGCAATAGCTTTATTCTTTATCCTTTTACTTATACTACAGCAAGCTATTCAACCATAATCATAAACTAGTACTACACATAACTAACATTATCATAAAAAAGTGGAAACCACGGGAAATCGACTAACCTTGAAGACCACGAAAGCAAAACCTTTGCCCATACCGGTCGATTGATCTTTTACACACCGCACAAAACTGACATCCCCAATATTTTCTTCAAATAAGTTAGCCAAATCATCTTCATTTGCATCAAGTGGGATATTTCCTACAATACACATATAAATACTTGAAAATTGCCTACTCAAACAAACTAAGATTAAGTATATTTTATTCTTTCTTGATGGGATTTGATATACTTTGCCATAAGTATATTTTAGTTTTAGCTGCAGTAAATGGTAACACAGAGGTAGAGTTCATAGTACTAATCAGCTTACCAACGAACACTGTCAGTTTTCTATCGTAATTAGCTTTCGATGTACAAGTATCGACTCGAATTCGATGCCGTTCCAGGATTGTACCATTACTAAGTCCAAAAAGAAAAAGGTATAATGCGTGTATAATATGCAATACAACAGATACAAGCACTCACTAAGCAAGAGCTTTCTGTACTGACTCCTCATCTTTGAATTTCACATAGAAGATCAAAGAAGTCTGCTTCTCGTGAAAGGAACGGGATAAATGCGCGATACGCTTCGAGACAGTTTCTTTACTTGGAAAAATGCATCGCATTCGAACCGATTCGATCTGGTGAAAGACATTCACAAATGCTGAATGAGAGTTTAAAACCTTTAAAAATATAGTTATACTTTGCCATAATGTGAAAACAGTTTCTTGCAGGACTTCTCATCCATGGTAAGTGGGGCATTTCCGACGAAAATCGTCCGTTTTTTCTCTTCTAAATTCATACGCTCCTCACGGGCTCTCTTTCGATTCGCACTGTAAATATGTCATCAAGACCCTCAGTAAAACGCAATAATGGAAACAAACCGTTGTTGGGTGCGATCCTTCGGTTTAGAGGTCATTCCTTGAACCTCCAGGTCTTTTGATTCGATTGTATTATCGCTGATATCTTTCTTGTGCTTCTTTGGCTTAATCACTGTCTCACCTTCGATGATTGTACCGCCACTTTCTATAAAAACAAAAACTAAACTCGTCTATAAAAGACAAGATGACAGTGGTTTTACCGGGATCCTCTGCTGAAAAAGCAACTGAATCACCACTGAAGAGCCTTGACAGCGAACCGACGACGTATTTACCTAGGGAGAAGCAATAGCAACTTCCAATTTTCAAATAATTTCAAACGACTAACACAATTAACTAGCAGAAAAAGGTATATGTAACATTAGCACAAACCCTCAGGTTGTTTCGCGACGGTAATGACAGTAGGTTTGAGAACTTTTTCACAGCTAGTTACTCCATCATTACTATGCGACACCACTAAGGAATCACCCGAACATATAAGATTCCCATTAGTTGCCCATTTCCTCGAATTCTTCTTCATTGAATGGCCTACAATTGAATCTGAGAAAACTTGGATACTTCGAATTCAATAACTAGAAAAAGATGAAAAACACGTAGAGCGAGCAGAGTTCGGATAAAACACCACAAACCGTCATCGCGCAGAATTCCACTAGGAACTAAATGTTCTGCTCCAGAAGGACGGTTATTCTCAACAGCAGAATTGACAGCCCTTCTTTTCTTCTTTACCGGTAGATTTTGGGAGAATTCTGGAAACATGAATAAAGACCTCACGACTTCTAGGTCTTGTTGATACTCAGCTATCTGGATTAACTTGTGCCTCGGTTCCATCAGAACGTATTTTGAAATCAGATCACTAGTAGGCCGCGTTATAGCAAACCGAAATGAACGGTGATTTGGATTGATTTTAATTGGGTTCCTTATGAATGGGACAAAAGTAGACCATATAGTAATACAAAAATATCCCTGAAGATTGTAGAGAGATAAAACAACAAGACAAACCATTTGCATTGAAAATCTCATTTGCAGTTTGATCCTCCACCCCAATACATTTGTTCTCTTCTTTGCAGGGCTTTCTTTTCTTCTTTTTCGTGGAACCTTGAACGACCTCTGAAAGGAACAAACTGAAACGACAGGTTTTCCTAATTTTTCATGGATCGTTGTTAATATAGAGCACTGTGGTATGAATTGCTCATAGGTTAGAAACGAACGTGTTTAAACCAAATCGGTCGGAAAATGCACTGTAAGAAACTGGACTGCGCCTTGGCTTAATCGCCTTTTGACAGGAATTTTCTCCTGTAGAAATGCTGCGCATTACTCGTAGGGCTACTCCTCAATCTCCATCGATTTACATCCTCTCTTCTCTTCTTTATACTTTCCATGTAATCGGCTTTAGAGGAGAAGCTCGGAGAAAGCGCTGTAAGAAACCAGACTGCGTCTTCGACTAATCTCCCTTTGAGGAGAATTTCCTCGTGTAAAAGTGCTGTGCATTATTTGCGAAGTTTGTCCATCGATTTACTATCCTCTCTTCTCTTCTTTATTCTTTCCATGTAATTGCTTTTCTCTTCTTTGTTCCTCCCATGTAATCGCTTTTTCAGGAGAAAATCGGAGGCGCAGTAAGAAACTGGACTGCGTAATAATTTCTAAAACAATTTAAAGTTTGTGAAGACTGCGGAGAAAACTAGAATACTACGCTACATTGAACTTAAGGCCTAGAAAAAACCATATAAACTGTGAAGAGATTTAGAAGATGAGACAAACCATTTCCGCTGAAAATCTCATCTGAAGTTGGAAGCTCTGCTCCAAAAGTATCGTTTTCCTCACGTACAGAACCTATGATGGACTCTCTTTTCTTCTTTTTTGATGATTTTTGAAGGAATTCTGAAATTATGAATGATGAACTAACAGTTCACCTTTTCAATTGTCATGGATCACAGCTAAAAAAGAACAATCTGCTCTCAATTGCTCTTCAGTTATCAGAAAACGTATTTAAATCCAAATCGCCAGTGATTTCATACTGAAGGAAACTAGATTGCATAGTACTAAGGTTTCTCATGTGGGATGAAGAAATGAAAAGGGTTCCAGAAAAAGTTCATACCACTGAAAGACCCAGATTCCATGCGAATTGCTGCATCGTATTTCTTTGGTATCTCCTCATCTTCTTCTTTCCATGATACAGATCTCGCATTTGATGACGTTTCGCCTACGATCACCCTCTCCTTGTTTCCCATTTTAAAAGTGTCTGTAACAGAAATCAAACAATATAACAAATTCGCATATCAAACATATTCAGTATAGAATGCAGCAATAAAACTATCGGTCACATACTTATAACGTCTTGTACATTTAAATTATTGCCCAACTTACCAGTTACCAAAGATACCTAAGCAAAAACAAATCCTGACGTTAACACTTCCAAAAGAATGTCACCAATGGCTTCCCAATACAATAACCTCGCTTTTTAAAAGAGAATGAAAACTATGACTTCTACAATGCTGAAACAATTGCAAAACTCTGGACCGCAGGTGTCTATGGTGGGGAACGAACACGCTATTGTCCTATCCGGGGAGTAACGCGTTCACCACCACACCATGCGGGTCCTTCGTTTCGTCTGTTTCTCAGCTAGTTCTATCGATCATTTGCCATCAGCAATCACCCGTCAACGGGATTGATCTGGGGAGCCCAAATCGGTATTGAACCCAGTTAAGCTGAGGCTATAGTTATAATCACAATCTTAGCCTTTTTATTTATTGCCTATTCTTTTTAACGGCATGGTATGTGGCGAAATATAACTTCTATAATGCTGAGATATTTGCAAATGTCTCAGCATTATAGAAGTTATATTTCGCAACACACTCTGTCATTAGAAAGAATAGGCAGTAAATAGGAGAGGTTAAGACAATGAAAAATAAAATAAAAATGAAAAGTTATGAGAACTGTCGAAGATAACACAGAAAGGATAAAACTCTCGGTGCTGACCAATCACTGACAGATGCGCCATGCTTACGACTTCACTAAGCATCGTTGGAGGTGATTAAACGCGTATCTGGCTTTTAGAATGACCTGCGGTGGCCTACCGACGTATCTATCCAAGTATTACCCAGTCCCACCCAGTACTGCTATCCTCCCAGACAAATATGGTACCAATTTTCTGACACCGGAGGGATGGAACGCTTGGTGAGCCACGGGTGTGGGAATCGAAACCAGGTGCGTATTGCGAGGCGCCCCCAACCAGTGCGCTACACACTCGAAAATAACACGCAGTTTTGATAAACAGTTTCGATAGGTCTAATTCTATCCTATTGTTTCTCTAGCCCTAGTAAATTTCCCCACTGCACAAATCACTCAGAGACACAGACAGAGGATATCACCCGAACCAAAGCTTGTCTTTATAAAGAAATCCTTCTCATCTCTTTAATTTCCTCAGGGTTTAACGCGGCGCTCTTAGCATCATATTCAATTCTACTAGGCGATCAGTTACAATGAAAATAAAATCCCCTTTGTTTCTGAAACCGTAATGAAACACAATTCGTTTGGAACTGCTTAAAGACGAGGAAGGTTACTGTAAAAGTACTATAGGCGGAAAACTCCAAATGTGTTACTTATAAACAGAAATATTGGACTTTATTTCAAAGTAATCAACAATTATAAAACGAGGTTAACAATAAAGTACACGAGACACATACACAACAGCGTCTAACACGGAGATTACTGTACTTCACTTAGTAGTGGACGAACATTGGTGGAGGGGGCATTGGAGCATTCATCACTGGAGGTGGTGCTTGCTGTACTTCATTATCGTTGCCGCGAGCATCAATCCGAAATGCGACCTGAACTAGGCCAAATTTGAATGCTTCGTCGAAAAATTGAAGATATACCCAATAAAAGATCTCAGTGATGTGAAGTAATTTCAAGATTGTACAATCCAAAGATCATTTTTTTTAAAAAGTCGACAAACACAAATGAATTTCAAAAATCATTACCTGAAGAAAGAACTGCTTCGTGTCTTTATTCCACATAGTCCAGAATTTTTCAGATTTATCGACTTCCCTTCAATGTAAGAATGGCGAACATTATTGTACTGTGAAGGTGAAACAAATTATTACATTCCCAGAAGTTTCATTTCAAACTACATATCACCATTCACTTCCCATCTACTTTCGTATAAACAAAAATTTTTTTTTCAGATTCCAAGAGTTCCACGGATCTCCCTCGTAGAGGGATCTCGTGCTGGTTAGTCGCGACACAGCGTGGTGAGTCTATAGGTTGCCGACAGGAGTTAATCCAGTACCAAAATCACCTCATCCCTTCGTGATACGTAGTTGGATTCATGGAATGGACACTCTGCTTGTGTCGCGCCGACTTAACACACACCCTATCTATTTACGCGCACGTAATCATGCTTAGGCGCGTGGGTGTGTTCTCGTTTATGCGGATTGCATTCTACGACTCAGTTCAGCCGGGAAGCTGCAACCAAATGAGAGGGAAGTCTATGGGAGACAGTTAGGAGTCACCTCCTACAAATAAGCTTCATTTCCGCTCTGGGAGAGAGTGGCAAGTTGCCCGTGAGTATATCCAGCTCTTATGTTCAGAGCTAAGCAATTTATACGTGGGTATCAAACGCTAAACACGGTAAAACAAACGATCCTCATTCTTCTGAAACGGAAAATACCCCGACTAGGCACCGTTTGGGTAGGACGAGTACGAACAGGCTACTAGAACCTCAGGGCCATTCTATGCTGCCTAAGTAGCAAAGGACTGGCATCTAGAAGATAAGGTACGTCGTCACCGGACTGGATGAGATAACAAGACGCTACGAATTCAACGCCGTCTATGACGTTGGAGAAGAACCGTTCCTCGGAATATACGAGAATAGAAAACTACCAGCGGGGTCAGTTTTCTCTTCAACTCGAGTTTGGCCCTGAACATGGATTTGGTCGAATAATTAACTACCCGAATCGCACTTTTATGGTTGAAAAGTTGTAAACCAATACCGATCTTGGCAATCTTCGTCTTTTACGCAACTACATCAAACTAGGACGAAAAAGATGTCGAAGCGGTCTACACGGACTTGGAGAAGTTATACAGAGAAGACTATAGTCATCAATAGAGATTTCAATGCTAAGATTAGAACCAGAAAAACATCATATTGGGACCCAAGGATTAGATTGGAGCAAGCACCTCGCAATTCAAGAAGCCCCACTATCAATAGTGGACCTGGACGTCTCCCAATGAAGAGTGCCATAGCGAAACAGATCACATCATAGTAAATGGAAGGTTTTGTCTGACCGATGTCGCTGTTGTCTCAAAATTCTATACGAGATGAGACTAATGCCTCTTCCGCACAAAGCTGCATTCGTCGCGGAAAGAAGAAAAAGACGCTAAATTCAAAAAACGAAGCATCAAAACAACCATAAACGGAAGGATTTAGCTCACTATTAAGCAAGAGCCAAAAGAATGGGACGGGAGAAGCTAACACACCAGTTTGGAGTCGCACGAGCTACAGGTAACCGCAGACTCACGTCATGCATAACAAGGCATACAGGCGATAAAAGCAGCTCCCAAAGCGAGAACAGCAGCAGTTGTGGTCGAAGCAGCAGAGGTTATGAAAATTATTTCGAAGTCTACTGAAGCTTCGCCAATTACAAGACCAAGGTGATTGCACTCCGACGCTCAGACAGAACAGTTACAGCGTCCAGAACGGCAATGCAGAAACCGTTAACGATTACTAGCCAGATCTCTTCAATAGCCACGCCCTCCCACCCTCGTGTGAAGTAAAGGAGCAAGGATGTGTCGCACCAGCGGTTCTCCTTTCCGAAACATACGTGCTATTTCGTCGGTGGAAAATCGAACAACAATAAATCAGGACAGAATAAGACCTGAGCATCTGAAGACCTTCCGCCAGTACTCAACAAAACACCAACTCATATCTCCACATGTTACCTTTCAGAATGCAAGGTTCTCATTCATTAGAATGACCAAGAAGACTGTGCTATTGCTCAAGAAGAATAACCGACTGTTTTCGTTTACTGATGGTATCGTTCTTACAACACCAAGCATTAGCCAGGCAAAAGGAAAGCTTACCGTCTTTGATGAAGCTTGTGGAAAAACTTGACTTCGATTAAATCTCAAAAACAATGTCCATGAGGACCGCATTGGTTACGTATGCGCCATTCACGCTCAATGGAACAAATAGCTCTGACTGCTTCAGCTATGTCTACCTAGTTCGGTAAAACAACGTGATTAACGAATTGGCTCCAGAATTTACCAGGAAGAAGCGAGCGGCTTGAGGAGCCTTCAAGAGCATCGAGGATGTAGTGAAGAGAACAAGGAACACCCGACTCCGTGGTGACCTTTTCGGCTTCACGATACTCCATGCCTTAAGGTATGCGTCAAAAACCTGGTCATTGTACAAGCAGGATGAAAGACCACTCAATGTTAATGAACGCACGGTCGAGGGTGATGCTTAAAGTATCTTGAGTCACACAAGTGAGGAAAGCGATTCGAAGTTCCAACAAACGTGAACGATCAAAAATCGAAAACACTGTTCTATATCGCAAGCTATTGAATATAAGGTAGGTCGGACAGGTAATACGTGTGAACGACGGCCTATGGACAACAGCCGTTAGCGACTGCATTTCTCGGGGTGCCAAACGTACTGCAGGAAGACCACCGACTCGACAATTATTCAAGCAAACTTTAGAAGAAAGATGTGGTGCTCAACGAGTCCCTAGAGCGAGGAGAACCCACTGGGCCACTTTTATATGTGACAACGAGAAATGGAAGAAATAGTGGCGCCCACTTGACTCATTCGACGATCAATAGGAAGACCAGTGATCCGATGTTTCCCGCCTCATTGCGGCTGGGGGTGTTCTTGGATGTCAAAATGTGGTGTACATATGGAGTCCAATTAACAAAAGGCTCTCACAACCTCGACTTTTCCACGAGGAACCATAATCAAAAGGGAACAAACTTCATCCATTTGGCAACCGTTTGTATCACACAAATTTTCTAGAGCTCCAAATGAATATTAAGAGGTCGGATCTTTCAAGGTTTATAGTAAAGGCTCCCAAAGAAGTACTGAGCAGCAAGTTTGAGCAACTCTAATATGTTGATTGGAAAGAAAAGATGAAAATGAATAGATTCGAACCTCACCTTGATGGGATTTTGAATCCAATTGTTTCGTACGGCTCAGCAGCAAAAAGAAGATACTGCCACCTAAGAATATTAAACCTTGTTCTAAAAGCGGAATGATAGAATGTAAAGCAACCTCTTATCCGGTGGTTGAATTTTCTGCTCATATGCCGACATAAAGCGATGTCTAGGCTGAATTCCTTCGGCTATCTCCGGATAATCTATTTGAAAGAGAAGCGCTTGTTGACCAGTGGCTGGATCACGTTCACGCGTTACCTGGTAACAAGTGAGAAGTAAAATTAAACTTTAATTGAAACACAACGTCCATCAGTGCAATAAACATAACAAAATGCCTCTAAATATGTCTCACACCTACTCGATGAATTGGTTTTTCAATGAACTCTCCTGTGCTGCTATAAATTTTAAAAAATGAACTGCATGTTGTCGGCTACATTCCTATGTAGGAAAAATGTGAACGATGTAGACCTCTCAATTAATATAAATCTCTTTATTAATTAATCACATGGAGTGGTTGCAATATTTTGGTAGTAGTGCCATGCAATATTTGCATAATTTTTAGTTAAAGCTCGCCATCAGGCCAACTTAGTCTCCTTCATACTGACGTCGATAAAACGGAACCAGTCTTGTCTTAGGAATTTTCGTCTGTTCAGATCAGCCAGAACTTTCCTGCATAAAAGTGCGCTGTCAACTAGGGCTACTTTATTCCTAAGGTGCTCTACTCAGCTGGATTCAGCTCGATAAGATTATGAAGACCTAGGCATAATTTTTTCTGTAACTCCTTGGACCGATTTTTTCGGCTAACCTCGGCTATAATTAATACGTTGTCGCTTTCATGATGAGTAGACACTAGGTTGTTACAATTTTTATTTCACAGTAGCTAACATTTCTGCGACTTCGTTTCCTTTAGAGCCTGAAAAGGTCAAACTGACTGCAATCTCCTCAGCAAAACACTTTCGTAACCTCAGCAGATAAAATTCAACACATAAATTTTCATTCGCATAATATACTGCTTCTTTTAAACACCCAAGGCTGAGTAGATTGCGTGCCAATTTAACCTTTCGAGGTTCTTAAGAAAGCGAAACAGCTGAAACGTCAGCTATTGTGTATTAATAAATACTGTAATACTGACCTCATGTTTGCTCATCAACAAAAACAGTGAATTGTTGATTAATGCCGAAGTTAATAGAAAGTCGGTCTTGAGGTTTCGCACATGTCTTTCTCAGTTAAAGAATCGGTCTGAGATACTTTCCGAGACCATGCGCGACAAGGACTCCTTACGATTCGCTTTTGAATTTGCGGGATTTGTGCAAAAAATTTTTATTCTGATGTTTTGTATTCCCATGAGAGGATAGCGACTTCTATTTCAGAATCTTATCCACTACGTCACTGCGTACTATGCATGTCTAGTGAAGTGTTTTCTCCAAGTTTAAGCTTACCATCTGAATATTATATTATACGGACAAAGAGCACTGTTCTCAAAAAGTATTCGCTCTTTACAATACACCAACCACCAATAATCACATTCCCTATGTAAACTCTGTGTGGTTAGCCTCAATCACTAAATAGAAGATTTACAAAGAACAAAATGGTGATAGAACTAGCCGAGAGACAGGCAAAACGAAGGATCCGCATGGTGTGGTGATGATCGAGTTACTCGCTGGGAAGGACAATAGCGCGTTCGTTCCTCACCTCAGACACCTGTGGCCCGGAGTTTTGCAAATATCTCAGCATCATTGAAGTTATATTTCGCAACATACCCTGCCATTAAAAAGAATAGGCAGCAAATAAAAAAAGCTTAAAACTGTGATTATAACTCCAGCTTCAGCTTAACTGGGTTCGTTGCCGATTTGAGTTTCTCAGATCAGTCTCGCTGACGGTTGATTGCTGATGACAAAAGATAGATAAAACGGTAATTGTTCAAAAGAAGCTGCATACTAAGCGAATGATATTCAGGCTCTGCGCTCTTTACGCTGCTGTAGAAGCATTTGGGGCTGAATACCACTTTGACCTTTCGAGGCTCTGAAGAAGGAAAAGAAGGAGGAAAGCTTGGAGGAGAGGAGGAAAGAAGGAAAAAGAAGGAAAGAAAGGAGTTCGACGTTTCCATCCGTAAGTCCAGCTAGGAAGAAATCAACACCAGAAACCACCTCCGTCCTGGTATCAAACTAGTCGCACGGTAGCAAACCTTCCTCTGATTCACTAGAGCGGCGACTGCCTGGGGTAATGAAGCCCTGAAGATGGTTTCGATTAGGCTGACCTCGGAACTTCACGAAACCACAATGGCAAAACCAGTAAACACTTGGAATGGAAACTATGCTGGCGCCCGCACAATCAGTGAAAAGGGTCGTAGAGGTACAAGTGAATAATTAGAAGAAGGCAAAACAGTCGAAGCGCTAGTTAGTATGAATTGAACCTTGTAGAAACGTCAATGTGTCTGTTCATCAAAAAACAGTAACTCACTGCTTTATAATGTTTTTACACTTTCGGAGACCTCCTTCCCCTAAGTATACCAACCAACGTGTAATTTTAGCTGCTTATTACTTGGGAGAATGTCTATTTCTTCGTCGGTTACGAACTGCACCCTGCTCTTTGGAAACCTTTCGCAAACTATTTCGCGCTGAACAAAATTTATTCCCGACTATGTTCATAACATCTGACTTCGAACCTGCCAATTGCATACAAAAAAGTGCAGGAAAAACACTGTGTGGTAAACGAAACTTTGGGGAAAAAAGTTCTAAGAGTACCATCCTCTCGTAAATAGCCAATCGAACAATTTCAAAAAAGAAAAAAAAAAAAGACTGTTACACATTGTTAAACATGAAATAGCGAAAGGAATAAAGATGAGTAACACCCCCGTGAAAAGGAAAAATTTCCTGGGACGACCTAATTAATTTAAATGCAGCATCGGTCAAAACAATATACCTTGTATCCAGGTCGACCAATCTTTACAAATTTCCGCATCTCTACCTTTGGCTGCACAGGTGCAGGCAAGAATGGCTGTTCCTGAGCTTCCTTCGCTGCTCTTCTTGCAAGGTTTGATTGATGCTTTTTGCCTTGAGTATGCGCCAGGTATGATCCTGCAAAAATACCATTGATTTCAATGTCGTCTAATAGCTATTAAAACCACAAAAAATATAAAAGACCCACGGAATAAAACTAACTTACCCTCGTTATTGTGTAATGTCAAACACAATTTGCATTCGTACGTGCCCAAATGATTCCGCATAAAATAGGGATCCTTTTGCAAATCAATTGTTTCCAAAGCCAACTGCCTAAAAATTCGTACAAAAACCTAGAAATTCTCATTTTCAGAAATATCCCACCAAAATTATTGTGAATTTTGACCTAACGACTGTGTCTAGTAAAACGAAGAATGACGTATACTAGTAATACGTAAGCTCACCTCAACCGCTCTCTACGATCAACGCCAGCATCTGCAGCCGATGCAACACCACCTCCACCTGTTTTTCCACCCGCTCTGTTTTGGAAGTCCATCTAAAGCTGAAGAAGACTTTAATATGTAGAACATAAAGATAGAAACCTTAAAAAGGTAATATTTGAAATGACTCTGACATTTCATACAGCGAAGAAACTTGAAAGAAGGTTTATACAGAGAATAAAGACAATAACTATCCACTGGCATGACTGAAATTATGTGCAGTAATAGCAAATAATTTCCTCTTCAAAAAGCTCAGAAAGCATTGATACATTACAAAGACAACCAACTGAAGGCCATTTTGAGATCTGCAACGTTGGAAATATGAATGATACAAACAATCATGCCTAGAAAAAGATAATGATTTCCGTGAACTAAAACCAACAGACAAGGGAACATGAGTGCGTAATACTAGAAAATGATTACAACATACAAGAAATAAAGCATCTAGTCAAGTAAGAAATTCAACGGGCCAAAACCTCGATGGTAATGAATGGTATGGCCAAATATATGAGTGTCAGGTAGTTTGAAAGAGCACCAATAAAACTTTGTAGAAGCGACGAAACGACTGGAATACAGTATAGCAAAATAACACGTTATTCGGCAGCAATTTTCCGGTTGGGTTTCAATTCCCATGAAGTAATTGTAGCTGTTAACTTTGCCGGCAACTTTGATCGGTCCCATTTGTCCCTTAAAGTACGAACAATCACGAGCTGAACGTGTTTTTTGGCTAACTTCTTATTATTTTGCCTTCGTCAAACCCATTTGTTACTTCCATATTTCGGAATCTACAGTCAATTGCAAGCTATCACCAAATGTTAAATATTGTCATTTGTGAACATTACTTAAGTAACAGTGACATGAGACATACTTAAATTCTTCTATGTCGTGTGACATTACAGCTGCCAGACGCTCCAATTCGCTAACGGACCACCCATGAGTACTTTGAACACACTAGAACAATAACGATACAAAAAAAGGAAATAGTGAAAATACTTCAAAAGATTTTCCAAGTGTGCTACCTTATCCACTACTTCGGTAAGCTCATTTTCCGGCAGAATAAGTACATTCTCAGCAACCGATGAAGTACTTTCTGTTGTTTCCATTTTTTCAGAACATTCAGAGCGGTTATCACATTCCAAATATTCCCTGCACGAATCAATTTCCTCATCCTGCTCACAAGAGACTTCGTCCTTATTGCTAAAATTCCAATGCCTTAATAATATACCTCAATTACTTCAAGCCCAGTAAATTTTAAACATACCTAGATAGAGATTGTTGAAGAGACTTCAGAATCGCAGCGGTTTTCCGTTTTTTAACAGAATTTGAGAGAGGATAACTACCTCTACGGCGATGTTGGAACTTCACCCGTTGAACACTGCTTGGAAGGATTGCTTTGGGCGTCTGGATATGGAGAAACAAAAATAAAACCACAAATTTCCACAGTAAATGTTAATCAAACGTCTTCGCCTCACGAAGAAAACATCGAAAACTGAGGTTATATAGATGCAACCGAGGGTATCAATTAAAATTATATTCAAGCTAGTATTGTTCTCTGTAAGTCAGTCAATGGCTAGAAATGATCCGTGATGCACTCGCTCATATGTTCGAACTCGTACGCCCAATTAACCACGCCTTCCATTCACATAGTCGGTAATTTAACACCAGACTTATCTGGGAAGATTAAAAAATGGAGATCATACATCGATAAGCCGTTTCTTGAAATTAATTCTAAAAAACAAATATCCATTCAAACACCGTTGTGATGCTTAATGAAGTTGAATGTATGCTGCATCACCAAGGAAGAGGTGAATGCCCGATACTCCTACGCGAATTCGTACAGAACAGAAGAAACGCATGTAAAAATATACGAAGCGCCCGACTTAACTGCGTTTAACACTGACCTTGAGGAACACTACATAGGAGAAAAATGCAACCCTACCATTTTATGACACAGAAGAGAATTTTAGAGATGGGAAAAGCCTACCGTAGATTTATTTCCTTCGTTCTTGTCGCCATCACTGACCACTTGCGTCATGTAACCCGTATGAACACTCCACGGCACTGTACGTTTGAACCCTTGTGGCAATTCAAGAAGTTTTTCATGAGCAGGGAGAACATTTGAGTCAGCCAACATTTTCGCATTATTCTGAAACCCACAGAAGAAAATAAAAAAATAAATATGTTATATAGTATCCCATTAAAAGCCTAAAGACATGTCCATCTTCAACAAAAACAATCTGAAAATAACTGCACATGATGGAATACACCTCAAGTGACTCGACAAAGTCGACATCGAGATCAACGTCAAACAGATCGACGACGGTTTCCCATAGAGCAAATGCATTGTGTCTAATAGCTCTACCTAAAAGAAAAGCAAATTGTAAGAATCAATATTTGCTAGCTGAGCACAGAAAAAAAATTAAGAAAATAGTTTCTACACCTTCATCGGTATTAGCAGGATTGTATTCTATTGCATTATCTCGTATCAAGCGTATATCATTTAATAGATGATCAGGATGAAGATATTCCTGTCTAAAAAACAAGCAGACAAAAAACTTCTCGTAAAGATGTAAAGATAAATCTGTTGCACATAAATATTCCCAAAACACTAGTCTAGAGTTAAACTGAAACATAATAATGTTAACTTTTATTTACTGCCTACCACAATTTCTTACGGTAGGGAATAATGTGAAATACAATCACAACGATGCTGAGATATTTACAGAACCAGGACCGCAAATGTCTGCCGTGGAGATAGGACACGTTATTGGCCTTTCCGTGGGCTAACGCGTTCACCACCAAACCATGCGAGTCCTTCGTTTCGCCTGTCTCTCAGGTCGTTCTATCGGTCAGTCCCGTCAGCAATAACCCGTCAACGGGATTGATCTGCAAAGCACAAATCGGCATTGAACCTAGATACCTGCCGTCCGGAGTTCCGCAAATATCTCAGCAACCTTGTGGTTGAAGCATGATATTTTACATTTCATACAATAAACACAATGGCTTGTGCAAAACAATAGGCCTCCAAGTAAACCAAATTCTGTGACAAGAAATTGATTAGTTTAGCACTGATGGTTGAGAAAAGGAGAACGAAACTAAAACGCTTGAAAAGAAGTTCAGGCCTCCAAAGAATTAAGAAATAATACAATTGTAGAAAACAATACTGCCATTAGAAAAGCACTATGCGTTCAATTTTGAAAGAAAAAGAGCAACAGTATCATGATACATCGCCAGACTTCCATATAACTAGATGATGATTATCACAGTTTTCCAATGCCACCTTATCCTCGCTTGCATTTAAAATCAAACATTCGTAACAAACCTATCAATCTTATCCTCCATTTCTGATATGCACATTGGATTCTTAATCACATCGTAATAATCCTCAACGTCATCTCCGTCCACCGGTTTGACAAAAATTGTAAAGCGACGGTCACGTCTTAAGGTACCTGCACCAAAGATATAACAGTAATTGCAAAAATCTAAAACTACGGTAATCTAAACCACAGTTATTAATGGCACGAAATCAAGAAGCGAGTAAAACATAGGAGCTAACAATTACACTACTGGTGAAAGACAGCAATATTACGCACATCGAAATTAGTTCAATTAACAAATGACTTCCTCTCCTACTTAGTTTATCCCTCGCCCAAATCCGAAATCGGCGAAGTTGGCTCTCGTATTCCTTTGCAAGTTCTCTCGCTTCTCTCTCATTCAACTTCCTTGTCATGTTCTCTTCTTCAGGATCTGCTTTCTCAGGCTCATTATACAGTGAAGCTGAACAAACTCAATCATAAAAAAATACAAAACACAGACAGAATATTGGTTTAATACAATCACATTCAATTCGACAACAACCGAAATATTCAAAAAGTTGACATCAGCATTCAATTGGTGGCCAAGTTGTGCGAAGGATAATATCTACCCACGGTCGAATACTCTAGGCGACTCTCGCGCACTGGAAACTATGTGCTCAAAATACTGTCGGCGCCGTTGCTCCTTAGGTGGTTTAAGGCTAAACAGATGCGTTTAAATGTGCTCACAAAGACTCGGTATAGTTAAAACAAATATTGGACGAAAAGAAATACTCAACAACAATATCTAAAAACTTCCATTACATTAACGTATTCGAACCTTATACATTGTGATGGACCAAAAAGATCCTTTACTTCGTCACAACAGGAATCATAAGCACAGTCACACGAAGCCAGAAAAAGGATTGAAGTGAACCCGTGAAGAGAGTCTAATGCCGTGGCAAGCTGAAACGGTACCTGGAGATCTTTCTTAAGCTCAAGTTTCTATTGACTATGATAGATCAATGAACAACATTCTCTCAACGGTTTATCGCCTCATCATGGCTGCGAGACGTTCTTGGGTGTCGGGTTGCTGTGTACAGTGGGGAGATTCATTCCTCTGGCAAGGTCCCCCGAGTTGAGAAGCAATCCGGCGTCTTCACCAGGAAGCTTAGTTAAGGGAAAATCAATCAGAATCCACTACAATCCTGGTGTAAAACTAGTCCATGGTGGCAAATCTTCCTCTGAGCTACAAGAGCGGCCAATGGCTATAGTGCCGACGACCTGGGGCAGACTTTAGCCAGACTGACCTCGGGATTCCAGGAAACAATTCCTAAACCAGCAAAACTCCGAAAAACTGGAAATTATGCTGGGGCAAGCACAAGAAGTGAAGGCCTATCCAAGTAAGTATTCAAACAAGTAATAAACAATATCACGTTGTATAAACATTAAGAAAACGATAGTAATCATGACAGTAACAAAAAATTTCGTGGAAAAAGTCGCTATATACAACAAGTGATCTTACCATGTGAGCGACGCTACGGGGAACAACGTCATACCATTGATCTATACTCGGCAGAAGCAAAACACACGGTCCATTAGCTGCAGAACGAAGTGCAGATTGAATCGTTTGCGCCAACGTTTCCTTGTAATTAAGATCAACATAAGAAAATGTCAAGCTTTAATAGGTTAATTCGAAATGACCTCGCCGTTGTTAAGTTTCCAAACATTTTATTTGAAAGAATTATTACCCAAGTTGCTGCCGAACAACATTTTAAAGCCTGCGTTTAACTATTTAGAGATACATGTCCTAGCAAATAACAAATTCTTTAGCGCAAAGGAAGGGTAAATCGCCTGCACCATAGAGCTTATCTTCTATAGATTCTTCACTACAGATTTTCTTCATGGGTTAGGACTGGAATATTAGACCGCATGTGTTCAGTTAAACACAAATCGGGTACGGCCAAAAATTAACAGCCCTTTCAAGAGGTAGATGTCAGAAACTAGGCATATTCGTGAGCGTTGCTAATTTACCAGGATTCCACAAAGGTTGGAAAGATAGTCACATAAAAAAATTAATATAGTGCAACTATTTGAAGATTAGGATTGATGATGAGTTCAACGTTCAACGAGATTTGTTACCCGAAAACACCAGAACACCAAAAATATAGAAATAGTTGTAGCAAAGGGGAATAATAGAAATTAAACGAATAGTCATCTCAATCATCTTGGGATTGTTTTGTGCAATAAAAATGGTTTCTTGACGTATTTTAATACGCGAATCAAAATGGAACCTATGTGACAGCCCACAAAGTTATGTGCAGGTGGGCCATGATAGACTTCGCAAACACTGTTTAAAGCAGAATTCGCACTTACAGACGGTTGATCGCATTTTTGGTGTTACAGAGACAAACGGAATTCGGCTTCTATATCGTCCTTGAGCGGCTACTTTTACATTCTTACTTTCGATTCTCATTTCGGTTCTAACAACTCTCCGAATCAACTAGTAGGAAGACCGACCGAAGGATTCGTTGCCGAAAACACACCTCCCTCAGATCCACATCGTGGTGAAGACCTGGATAGACTCTTGCAAGGTTAAGTTATGACTCCAGGGAGGATAAGGTTGCACAACCAGCAATAGGCCAGCCTCAGTAACCCGCACACTGGGTGCCCCCGACTACGACGTCAGGCGGTGAGAGGCCAGAAAATCTCGGGTTACGCAAGACGTCCCTGGAACCGGACCTGACGAATACACGCGCGACACGCCATGGAGATTGTTTCTTACTATGCACATGTAATGCCAGAACACTCTCCACAGAAGCCGATCTTCATGCGCTTCTAGCCGCAGATCGCATTGAATGTGATGGTATTACAAGAAACAAAATCAAGAAAACCGACATACGCCAACTAGGCAACGGGACCTTTGTGATCCGTGCAGAAAAGGTCTCGTCACGAAAGATCACTGTCATCAACTGCTATTCACCGACCGACGCAGCAGATGAGTACGAATTAAATGCGATCTACTATCAGTTGGAGGAAGCCATCAGTTCCTCAAGCAAAAAGATCAGATCGCATCTCCATCACTGCTAAGGAGTTGATCGAAAAGGGAAGGAAACTGAAGCTTGATTCTACTGCAACACGTTTAACATGGCTAGTAATAGGATGCCAGCTGCAGAAGAACTTTGCAGGAAGATCTACAACGGTACAAGCAGAACAAAACACTGCAAGCAACAGAGAAAAGAAGCAGTCTGAAAAAATGCCGTCTGGACTTATGTGATTATAATGCTCCGCTGTCAGCTCTGATGAACAAAGATGGGATTGTCAAAACTTCCCGCCACGATATGGAATTAATAGCGGAAACGTTCTATACCAACTTCTTTTCGTTCCACAATCCCCGTTCGGGGCCCTAATATCCCCACTGGAGAAAAACCACCTGGAATTCTTCCGTCGGAGGTTCAACTCGCGATAGAAAGCATGAAAAGAGGCACGACTCGAGGACCCAATAATATCACTGTCGATTTCCTTGGAGCTGGAGGCTACAATTTACATATACTTCTCGCAGATCATATGACAGGCTACCTTCAAAAGGAAAAAATCCCAGACCAGTGGACGTCACGCACGCTCATCCTGCCCAAGAAAGGAGACCGAAGGGATCTTCGTAACTATTGTCCCATATACTTGCTAAGTGTGCTCTACAAGCTCTTCACGAAGATTATCCTCTCGCGCATATCAAGGACATTGGATGAGGCGCAACCATTCGAGCAAGCGGGATTTCGAAAAGGATTTTGCTACATGTACCACATCCAAACCGTGTCCAGGGTCATCGAAGTTTGTCGGGAATACTACTTGCCTCTAGTCCTAACCTTTGTCGACTATGAGAAGGCGTTTGACAGCGTCGAAACAAATGCAATCCTATCAACGCTCGTCGACCAATGAGTGGACCCGTCCTACATAAGAACTCTATACAACTGTTATCGGAACTACACTACGAAAACACAGCTTTCCATCCACCTCTTACAATACCCATAGGAAAAGAGGTTCGACAGGGCTACACAATATCGCAAAAGCTGTTCAGTGCCGTACTGCAGTGGATAATGAAGTCACTCGATTGGGACGCGAAAGGCATACGTATTGATGGAAAATTCCTATCAAACCTTCGTTTTGCCGACGACGTTGTCATCTTCTCAAGAAGTACTAACGAAGCAGAGGTGATAACCAACGAGGTCAGCGAAGCGGGGATAAGGACCGAACTTCGCATAAATCGAAATAAGACCCAGTTCATGAGAAACCCACGGTGAGAAGGCGAAAAAATTGAATTGGATGGCTCTCCCATTGCAGATGCCACCTCGTCCGTTTACCTTCGGCGATCAATGAAAATGGAAAACAACATCAAGGAGGAACTAGATAGAAGAAGGAGAGCAGCTTAGGCCACATTCGGCCCTCTTAAAGAAGCCACCGACCAACTGAGGGATCCGAAAAACCGCTTTCATTTCTTTGATTCTACGGTCCTCCCAGCGCTCTGTTACGCTGCAGAGACGTGGGTTGATACTTCAACTACTTCAAGAGTGCTTCGAACTACTCACAAAACGCTTGAGCGATGTCTTCTGAAATATAACCAGCACTCTCAATATGTAGCTGGAATGCGAAGCTCTGACCTTCGAAATCTATCACATCTTCGAGATCCAGGAGAATATACATCGACAGCGAAACATAGATGGGCCGGTCACACGATGAGAAGAACAGACGACAGATGGACGAAAAGAACAGTAGAGAGAACTCCAAGAGAATGCAAACGTCCCCTTGGACGACCACCTACACGTTGGGCGGATGTGTTCGTGAACAAAGTTAATCAGCTGTACTCGCAGCTGCAGTTGTTTTACAGATCACGGTATGAGACTCGCAAGCGCTACCATGCTCGAACAAGACCATCACCATAAACTACGATTGCGAAAGAAAGGAACGAATGGCACATGTGCTGGGGTCCGGCACAGCTCGTGAAGACGGACCGTCCTATCCAAGTAAGTAAGAAAAATGTGCCACCTCATTATCATACCCGACTATCATTTTTTTTCACGAAAGCGAATACTTCCAAAGAAAAACCTTAAATGACCAATTACTGTTGCAAATTTTCTAAAGAATTTTTCGCTCTTCGAACTTTACGATTTCACACTACCTGAGTGGAGCTGTCCGGATTGTAATTATTTTTACTCAGATTAATAAAGTGGTACGTAGGCCGAACAATAGCATTACAAAGCTCCCATTTAAAATCGGTCATTAATTCCGAAACAACCTAATGACGAACAAGACATCATAAAATATCTACCTCTGGCTTTCCATCAGAAAAAAGCTTTGCGACAGCTATGGAGAATACAGGAAGATGGTCGAGTTTTCCGAGTATGGCCGGCAAAACGTACGACGTTTGGCTAAGATCGGGATACGACGGATCTCCACAGAGCAACAAGCGAACTGTAATTGCAACCCATGAGCTCGGAAATCGAAATCATTAGGAATGTGTCAGCAGTTCCCTTCCTCACCCGCAGGCACACAAGGTGGTTGCTCGAGTGCTCGCACAACTTTCTCCAATTCAGAAGCAGCAGTGTTTTGAATTGATTGCGAACAACGGTATCCGAACGGAATGCGCTTATTCAGAATAGATGAGACTGTGTTCAGAAGCAGTAATGAAGTTCGATCATCTAGCTGACGTGAGGGAATAGAGAGATCTAAAATGATGTCAATATTTATGATTATAATCCTTGAAATAGCACGGCTTCAACTATAGGATGATAAGAGCACAATGCTTATTTCTCTCTATGCTTGTGAACAAGTATAACATTAACAACATATAACGCCCGAAACTGGTTCTTCGACAACTGACGATAATTTCTCGATTAATAGAGTAATTAAGGAAGTCTGAAGTTCAACGATTTATACAAGAGAATTCGCACTAACATCCTAGTCGCAAGATAATTTTCATAAAACTCTCAAATTGAAACCTTCCAGAAATATCTCAAAAAGTTGAGAAAGAAGTTTAGGTTTATAAAAAAATCGAGGGACTTATTGCTCATATGTAAGCCTTCCTTGACAAGTTTACATAAGACTGATAAATAATCTTTACTTTCGACTAACGTTTCATCATCTTCATCAGAGCTATTAGAGAAGGTGAACACCTGTGGACCATCGACTCGGATTATTGACTCTGATGAAGACAAGCGTTAAACCAAAATAAAGATTATTTATCAACAACGTGTAAGCTTGTCAAGGAAAGAATACATATTCATTATCGCCCCGAGGTCAAAGGAAGGCCGGTTTTGAAATATTATTTCTCATAAGTAAAGACAAGCAGATTCTAATGGCATATGTTCTAACCAACAACGAGCGTTAAGTGTTAAAACAAATAGGTGAATTAGTCGCCTAAAAAATAAGCGTTTCGAAACCTCTTCTCGATGCTGGAATAATACGACGCATCGCTGTTGCGAAGCAGTCTTTGTCAACAATCAGCAATGATGAATCCAACTTCAACCGTTCTTTGGACATATAAATGTGGGGAAATCGAGATCGAAGTGCGACTAGAACGGCCTCCGTGCATAGGTACTAGAAAAAAATTTCAGTATGTATGGTAAGATGTGAAGATTAGATCAGACTGAGAGATTAAAGATGAAGATTGAAGTCCACCTGAAGATCTGCACCACAATAGCCACTTGTCCCATCTGCAAGCCATCTTAACGTTTCTTCACTTGGTTGGCTGCCTCCCCACTTTGCGGTATGGATCGAAAGAATTTGATATCTGAATGATAAAGGGAATACTGTAGAGAATTAAAACAGTTGAATATATCTTTCTACTTCTGTTCAGCAAACACGAGGTGCTATTTTATTTCTTTATTTACGCACAAGCTGACGTTTCGGAGGATTTCGCCTTCCTCAGAGCCTGGAAGGGTCAAGTTGACAGCAATCCATTCGGCCAAACACCTTCACAACCAAACAGAGAAAACGCTAAACCAAGATTTCAATCACATTGAACACAGCTCCGCACACTCACCGATTTCTATGAGTCTTCCACTGAGTATGTCGCGTGAAGACCGACCGCACAGAATTCACATGGAAGCGTAATGTGCCCCTCCCATCAGAATAACAGGTTTATACACTGTCCAATATCACGCGTGATAACGAGGCATTCCTCCCTGCGGTTCATTTTTGGATTCTTGGAATTTATTCAGAATGCCTCCACAGTTTTGCGCGCTTGTGTTCTCGATTCTTGCGCGAGGATCATAACCCTTACTTCAAAATCT